CAAAGTCCCATGTGTTAAAGCCTTAACGCCCTAGGGAAGTGGTAGAATCTTTGAGCAGTGAAGCCTGGTAGAGGTATTTAGGCCCCTGGGGGCTGGCCCTTGATGAGTGCTCCAGCCACCCCTCTTCTCTTTGTTTCCCAGCTGAAGTGAGGCTGCTGTGTTCTACCTGGTGTTCCCATAGTGATGCACTGCCTCATCACAGGTCCAAAGCAGCAAGGTCTCAGTAATGTCTAGAGTCTCCAAAACTGTGAACCAAAATAAAAACTTTTTCTTCATAAGTTACTTATCCTTGATATTTTTGTGTATGTGTTGGAAAACTGACTGACAGATTAAGAGGAACATTTCATAATAACAAAAGGGCCAATCTGTGAGAAAGGTAAAGCAATTATAAATACATATGCACCTAACAACACAGTTCTCAAATAGACAGACCAGCAGAACAAAGAGAAAAACAGAGAATTCTATATGTAGTAGGAACTTCAATACCCTGCTTTTAACAGTGGATTGAACAAAACACCTGCAAAAAAATAGAAGACTAACAATGTGTAAACCAACTAGACTTCCCTGCCAAACATCTGTAGAGCATCCACCCAGCAGCACCAGGATACACATTCCGAGCATCTCCCAGGACACACTGTACTAGGCTATAAAGCAAATTCCAGCAAATGCCAGATATCTCTCCTTTAGTCACAAAGCAAGCAGTCAAGCAGGCAGACAGTGAGGCTGATCTGACAGGTATAAAGGACCTTGAACAAGAGGAAGTAAGTACAGTGGGTCCTGTAGGTACCTGGTGATAGCCCTCAGAGGTGGGATGAAGTGACTCCAGCCTCAGGAGTTGGGTGTGACTGGAAATGGTTTGGATAAGAAGGGTTTGGATGAGAAGGTTCTTTGGTGGCCTCTCCAAGCAAAGGAGGTGTAGAGTGAGGAAAGCCAGGCTAAGCAGTTTGGCCTTGATTCTGATGCCTTGGGCCTTTGCCCAGAGGAAGGTTGTTGATTGACTGACTGATTGTTTTTCAGGCCTGTGTCAGTTTCCCCTCAAGAGACAAAATACTTGAGTAAATCAATCTAAAAGGAGGAAAAGTTTACCTTAGCTCAAGCACTCATGGTCTACTGGCTCCTCTGCCCTAGGCCTTTAGCAAGGCAGAATATTCTGACAGCAAAGCATGTGGGAACCAAGCTGGTGATCGCATGACCTTGGGAAACAGGGAAAGAGAGGAAGGGGTCAAATCTCAATATCCCCTCCAATGGCATGCCCCCCAGTGACCTAACTTCCTCTCATTAAGTTCCACTATATAGCACTGGCTCTATCAGCTGGAAAACAAATTTTTAGTCATGGCCTTTGGGGCCTTTTTGACCCAGACCATTATGCCTCAGAGTGAAGTGAGTGGTGAGCTGGGTGGGACAGACTATGGAAGGTTACCTTGCTCCAGGGAAGAGGCAAATATTCGAGAGATGTTTCACAAATAAATATGTAGTGTTGAGCTCACTGATCCCCAAATTTATGGTCCTCCAAAAGGCCCTGAGGTTTGAGAGGGGATTCTGACAGTGCTGACACAGGTGTGTAACTAACTGTGAGGCTGGACTTGATTGGCTTAAATTTCTTTTTAGCACTTCAAAACTAACTGGACAGTGGGTGTGAATCAGTGGTACAGCACACTTAAAAGTCCTCAGTTGAACACAGCACCAAATAGCCTGCCAACCAAACAACCAAAAAACAGTCAGATGTAGTGTTCCAGGCCTGTAATGCCATAATTTGGGAGGTGGAGGCAGAAGGATGAGTTCAAGGCCAGCCTACAGGAGACCCTGTCTTTCAAAACTAACTTCCCTGGATGCTGGCTTGTTATTTTCATCCTCCTCTGCAGGCTCTGGCAGAAGGCCCATTTCCCCATCCTTCCCAACACCTCACAACCCTGGGCCTCCTCCCAGTAATCAAAGGTGCTCTGAGAGGGAAGGAGATGAACCCATACTGGCAAGACTCAATCAGAGGCTCCAGGGTGTAGAAATAGGAGTTTTAAAATGACCACTGCTGTGGCTCAAAATGCAAATGTAGGAGAACAAGTGTGTTTAGCTACAGATGTTTTACGTGATTTTCGCGTGGTCAAAAGAAGTGCCCCCTAGCCTGGCATACCGCACCAGCCCACAGCGCGCAGTGTGCACAGCTCCCAACGGACCTGAGGAGGGGCCTACCGGGCTCCCAGCTAGAGCACAGCAAGTCTGGTCCCGGCAGCTCCCGCCCCTGCTGCCCTGAGCTGGAAGCTCCTGCTCAGCGTGGACGGCATCCGGGCCACTTGTGTTTTCACACCAGGTTTAGGGAAATGAATCAACAAAGACAGCGGAGACTCTTGGAAACATGTGATGATGGACAGGCAAGTGCGCCCCGGGAGGAAGGATTTGGCATCCAAAGACACTTTTTGATGGTAAGCTTTTAGGGGTGTATTTGCCCCAATAATCCGCAGAAGCAACAGTAATCTAAAAATAGTCTTGTTTTCTGTCCTAAGCTCCTTTTAACTTTGTTAGTCATCACCAACCCTTAAAATAAAACCCGGGCAACGTCTCTCCTAGTAGCAGCTATAAACAAACCTCCTCTAGAGGAGGCCGGAGGAAAAGGAAAAGAGGCGATAGGGACGCGCAGGGAGCCCGGCTGCCGGACAAGGCTGGAGTCCGCGGTGGCCCCAGGGCCTGGCGGACAGCACCGAGCTGGCCGAGCTCCTACGTCGCCGCCTCCGGAACTCCCTGCGCCTGGCGCTCGGCCACCGTGGTCCCGGCAACGGCATTAAACAGAGGGAAACAGGCCCGGGATTCCGTCACCCGCGGGGGATAAGGAGGGCATTGAGACAGACAGGAAAGGGCTTTTCTGGATGGGATGAAAAGTTATTTATTGGCGAGGGAGGGAGAGGAGTAGACAGGAGGAAGAGGAGGAGCAGGAGGAAGAGGAGGAGATGAAGGCAGAGGAGGACGAGTCCTCCCAGCCCCTCTCCCCTAGCAGCCCGCCGTCCCCAGGGCACGTGTTTGGGGCCGCCACTCCCTGAACGTGCTAGAGTGGCAACAGGTCGCCGTTTCTGACCCAACTTGCCTGACCTCGAACCTCTGTAGTCCCCAAGGTCAGGGCTAGGGCTTGGTCCTCCCGCAGTACACCAGCCCCCCCCCCCCCCTT